ATCGCCTGGTAGTGTTCCTTTTCTTCTTCCTTCATCTTATTAATTAATTAATAATTTTACAAATAAAATCATTGTTATCATCATAGGTGTATTTGTTGACGAATTACCAGAAAGTGTACAAGATGTTTATGAAGCAAAAACAAAGGATTATTATTCAAAGTTTCAGCCAAAGGATAGTTGAAATGAGATTCCACAAAGATTAAACGATTTTGATAATTTCAATAATAATAGTAATAATACTGGTAGTAGTGGTGCTAGCAGTAGTAGACATACACAACAATACTATTCGTCTAGTCAACATCAATATCGTCATCGTGTTGAATCTTCTAGCAGTAGTAGCGGTAGTAGTAGTAGTGATAATAGCAATGGCAATAATTATAATTATAATAATCGTAGCCATAATAATCATAGTCGTAATAATCGTAATCGTAATAATAATAATAATAATAATAATAATAACAACAACAACAACAACAACAACAATCGCCACAACCATAGTTATAACAATTATAATTATTATAATTATAATAATAGATTTAAAAATGATTCAACTTTAATTAATATTTTGTTAATGATTATTGTAATAGCACAAGTAATCTTAATTAAAATATTATTTTTTGATCACCCTCATCGCACTTCAACAGCAACATCTTCTTCATCGCCACCATCACCACCTGCCACTAATCCAACTACTTCAGTCACATCAACAACAACTTTACCTCATAATCCTCCAGATTTTACTTCTTCAATAAGAGATACTACAACTGTGACAGTTTCTACAATTGCAACAAGTACCATTATTTCTACAACCATTATCACCACTACCATCACCAAAACTACTACAAAAACTTTTAATAATCTAGTTGACGAGAATGTCTGCTATCCATTAGATTTATAGATTTATTTATTTGATTTTTTAATTTTCTAATGACATTTTTTATTTTTCTATGTCTGATAACATTTTTTTCTTCGAATTATATATAAAAGTGGTGACCGCTTCACCATAGATTCACTCGCATTGATAGAAAATGGAAAAGGTCACTTTTTTTTTTTAAAGTACTTTCGAATCATAGTGATGGCGGTCACATCCAACAGAGTTTTCCCAGATCTGCAAAAAGCATGTTAATATTTAATATGTATAAAAAAAAAATAAAAAAATATTGTAAGAAAAATTTTTTTTAAAAACAGTCAAAACCTTCTTGGAAATTTCTATTCACACTAATGTTGTGGAAAAAATGACTTTGCAATCGAAATTTGTGAATGGCTTTTGATCAAAGTTAAAAATTTGGCTAATCGCGAAAAATAAAAAAAATAATTAGCTAATTCGTTTCTTTTTTTTAAAAAAAAATAACAATAAAGATTGATTGTTTATTTATTTAATGATAACAAAAAAAAAATAAAGGCTGATTGTTAAATGACAACGAAAATAAAGATCAATTATTTTGTCGCAAGAAATAAATAAATAAGTCTGCTTTCTTAACCTTTCGTTTTTTTTTACATATTTATGAAAAAAAAACAACAATCCATAATAAATCCGTATACATTTTTATTATTTATCCAACAACAATTCATGTTTTTTTAAAATATTATCACAAAAAAAATTTTACGTATTTATTTGTCAAAATGCCATGTTTAGTCAACTTGATTGTTTACGTTACTGAAACAAGAGAAATTCCTACAATCAACAATTTCGTCATGAATACTGTCGGAGTTACCAAATCTTCAACTGGAGAAGAACTTGCTGTCCATATTGTTGCTTTCTATCCAAGAGACCCTGATGTAAAAACAAATCTACAAAGGATAGAACCAAACCAATTTGTTCGCGTGGGAGGGAAATTTATGATTGATGATACAGATGTGGACAATTCGAGTGTGAAGTTCTTGAAGGTATGTATCATTTTAGAAATTTGAAGGAAAAAAAAATTTTTTATGATCATAATCAATGGGAGAATTCATTTTAATTTGCGCGTTTTTTTTTTAATTAACTAACAAATATATCACTCTTCCAGGTGATGGCAACAAACTTGACAGTCATGGAACTTGAAAACGAAGAATTGGAATCATCAGACATTGTTGTTACAATGACTGCAACAGCAATGAACCAACACGGAAGGGATGAGTTTAACATCACAATCAAAACAAATAAATGGTAGTGAATATTTTGACTCGTCAAGAGTTTCAATGGATTTGAAATATACCTACCACTCGATCTCCAACAATTACTTGCTCAAGACTTCCGAATGTGTACAAAAAGGAAGCTCGTTTATATTGCCAGGTAACCTGGAAAAGGTCAACAAGATCCAGGTCACCTACCTTTCATTCATCAATCTCTTTAGCAACAGCAATGGCAAAACCATAACCACCTCAAACACTGTAGAAGCCACACGAGAGATTATGTCTTCAATTGAAAATCCAAAAGAAAAAAAAGGAAAAAGCCCCTGCTGCATCCATAAGAACAAAGGTAAAAATACCAAAATTAGCCAATTTGGCAGTTCAGAACATTGATGATGGCAAATGCAGCACACCGATGGCAGACAACAATGAAGAAGATAATGAATGATAACGAAAAACATTTTTTATTTTTTATTGTTTAATTACTTTTCTTAAATGGAAGATAAAATAAAATCCAAAAAAAACCCCTAATTTGAAAATAAATGACAATGCTTTGTAAATTCTCTTCATTGGTTGTTGTTGTTGATATTAAATAAAACGTTATTTTTAGGTTGTTATTATTTATAGATAAGTAATAAGTTTTCATGATTAAAATTTTTAATAATAACAATGTGATAGTTACTAATCTTTAAGCATTTTCCCATTTTTTGATGAAAAGAAAAAAACGTTGAACTTTTAAACTTCATTGGTGATGAATCTCAAACCTTTTTACCATATTGTTATTAATTAACAACAAAAGCATAGCTATTACTTTAGAACATCATAATCTTTTTTTGATTATTAATTGCCTATATAAATAGAGCATTGCGGATTTTAGGTGATATTAAATTATTCATTTAACAGAGCAAATGTTCCTGTTTTGTGATATTATGGTTCCATGTATTTAGATTTTGAAAAATTTTGAAAAATATACAAAAGGTATTTTTTAATTTAAAAATAGGTGATAGTAATAATAATAATTATTATTACTACTTGATAAAATTATTATTTCAAACATTATCATTTTTATTATTTATAAATATATATGTGTGTTGAAAATCATATCAAAAGCAATTTGATATAATACTTGATGAGTTTCAAGAAATAAGAAATGTTTATGCAGCATTTTATAGTATTTATTGTTAAAAAATAATAATAAAAATTAGTAGATTTGTTTGATTTTTTGTTGACTTATTCTTCAATTTTATTGTTATTGTCTATATGTTCATCAAAAATCTTCTCTAGATTATATTTTTTCAATTTGTTATAATCTTTAAGTACACTCATACCACATATATTCTGTCATATAAAATATAGTATATATTAATGATATATACATGCTATTATTCTAATTTGATTGATCAATCAATCAATTACCTTGAAAATTTCAACAATGATTGTCAATTCAGGATTACCAAGATTGACTGTATGATCTTCACCAACAATTTTAGCAATCATGTTAATCAACTCTTTTTTATCTACTTTATCATTATTTCGAGTATTAGGTACTATTGCATACTAATTTCACAATAAAGTAAATATTTAGTTTACTTGTACATACATACACACACACGAGATCATGAATAATTGAATGTGCATACCTGAAATTTTTGTTTTGAATCTAGTGATTGTTGTGAATTATTAAAAATCGGATTTAATATGAATTGAGCCATGTTTTGTATGTCATTGGTATTTGCATAACATGTTTGTGTTATTGGAATTAATCTTCTAGAGAATCTTTAGAATGAAGAGATAGTTATTTAATTTTTATTTTCAAATAATAATAAATTATAAAATGTTCATTTACCTGGTTTTCTTTTCTCCCGAATTATTTAAATCATCCAAAATATTATAAACCAGGTTTGTTGGATCAATTGGTGGATTAGTTTTAATGAATACAACTATTTATAATTCAGTAATAATAACAATGAATTATTTTTATCTATATAATAGTAGTAATAATAATGGTAGTAATGTTATCAAAGAATATAATTTTATACATACCACAATCAGTTCCAGTTTGAATTGATGCAAAATTATTAGAAGAGTGTGGCCTTTTCATTTCTGAAAGTTCTTTTGCAATTACATCTTCAATGTCCAAATTATCATCATTATCATCACCAACATTCTTATTAGCAGCAGGATCAGTAGCATTTATAGCTTGTGATAGAAAAAGTTTACCAGCATACTATTTAAGATATTTTTTTATTAAAACTCAAAAATAGTCTATTATGAATTATACTAATACAGTAATAATAAGGTAGCATAAATACCTCATTGAACAAGTCATAACACTCTCTCACACATAGTGCTTCTTTATTTTTTACACAAGTTATAAAAATCCCAGATATATTTGGTTCAATTTTTGCAACATTTTTTTGTTGCTTGTAATAATAATTTTTTTCTGTTATCATTATCATTATTGTTAACATTAGTAAAAATTACATACATATACAAATACATATTTTTTTTTATTTTGTTTCTTTACAAACCTTTTTTACTTTTGGAAGCATTTGGATTATAACTTACCTGAGAATCTGACATTTTTTCTAATTAGAAAATATAATGAATTATAGATCATTATTTTATAGGATGAATTCGACCAATCAGAACACTGGTGCTATTATTGATCCAAGAATTGTCACGTATCTCATCCACTTGACGCTATGAGAGTGCGTCTTCAACTTTTACAGTAGTGAATTTTTAATTGTTATTTAGAACATCGTATTTTCATTTGTGCTAATATTCTACTGAGCGCTCGTCTCTAATGATACTGATTCGTAACACATTGTTAATGGTTTATTATAATGGTTTATTGGTAGCAAAATTACTAAGTGTGCCAACTTTATCAGCATGTTTATATATATATATAACAAATCAAAGTTATTATATATCAGATAGTTTATATAATATTATATCTTACAATTTTGTGAGAAACTTGGACAAATTAAACAACAACAATAATATTATTAGCAGTGATAGTAATCAATTACAATATCAGGGTCAATTTCAAATATTCTGACATGGTCAAAACAAGATGGCAAACCGCATTTTCTAATCAACAATCAATCAGATCACCCGTGGGTTGATTGTATTTACTAAAGTTCAATGGGTGATTGATATCAAATAGTTATATTGGTATAACAATATTTGAAATATCGAAAAATAACAATAAAGACAATCCCGCTAATTAATCACCGGTTATCCGATTAATCGAATGTAGAATTCATTGAAGATTGATTAATCGATTGTTGAAAACAACTATGGTTTCTCCCGCCGCAACTGTTGGGTCCAGAGTTGATTGACTTCGATTTTGATTTCGAAAAAGAAATTGACATTTTACAAACAATATTTATTTTTATCTATCAAAAGGGGTTAGCCTTAACAAATGAAAATTTTCAAAATTTTCGTGATCAAGATTCTAGAATGGAGTTAGTAATTGGTTGATATTGTAAATAAGGCTCCGCAATGAGCCGGCTCGCAAGCTGGCTCGTTCGGAGCTTTAATTGTAAACCTCATCAAGAGATTATCCATAGGCAATTTATGTTTATTTAAATGTGAAGAAAAGAAACATTTCTGACTTGGCGTATAATAATCAATATTTAAGCTAATCTTTTCTTTTAATTGTTGTTAAAAAGTCCTAGTTTGGCTCTAAAATTTTTATTATATATTATTAATATGCTATATATGAAAAACGGAGACAATTCGTGTAACATTTATATTAACATTATTAAATATATTGTATTTTTTAAAATGTATATAATAATTTTTTTTGTTTTATAAAAAAGAATAAATTTTCTAAAAGGCGACATTAACAATGAATCAAGCATTAACCACATTTACCAATATTAGTACTCCTCCAATGCAAAATCATGGATTTGGTTTTGCTACACCAATAAATTCGACAAATATAAATAACATAAATAATAATCCTAATAATCCCAGACCTCCAGCCTCAATACCAATACCAATGCAACAACAACAACATAATCATACTATACAGTAAGTTTTGTTTTATATTTCATCACTTATCTATCTTATTATGTGATGCAATTCATGATTCATTTTTTACTTGGAAACATTCATTAAAATAAATTTAAAGTTGTAATCAAATAATTCCTATAGAGGGGAGGGTTAGTTAACGTTATTACATATATTGATTTATATTATCATTTTCTGTTTTTTCTATTTATATGTATCTATCTATATACATATACACACACACATACATACATAAATACACATGTATATATTTCTATTTTTTTTGAAAAATTAAATATTTAGACAACAACCTTTTTCTGGAAGGGGAATTATTAGAGTTTTATTATTTTTTGAATATTTAGCAGCAGAGGTATTTATCAATATAATATTTAATCTAAAAATCATTTATAATTAGTGTTGGTCACCAAAACTATTTTGAAGAGGCGAAAGTCAATATCAAAATTAAAAGTTGTGTCAAAACTAAATCAAAAGTCAAAAGTCAAAACTAGTTTCGACTTTCACATAGTTGCAAACTTTGGAAACCAACACTATTTATAATACAACTAGTTGAATCGTAGCTAATTAATATATAACCTATTATTATCTCAAAGATGTCTCCAAATAAAAAAGATATATCATATTGGAAAAGAATTATATCAGAGTTCTTTACAGAAGGAGGGCGATTTTTTTATTCATTACAAAGTTCGACGGGTTTAAAAAAAAAAAAAAGCTTTGGTTAGAATTTCTTATAATTGATAAATCATGAATTGTTTGATCAATTCCTCCATTTTATTTATAATATTCTTATTTAATAAATTGATAATAGACCTACCAACACCAATGATTGCTAGATTTTTCCAAGTAAATTTTGATTCAGGCGTAAATTCAATACAAATAACAATGAATAATGTCAAAGAAAGTCTTGGTAATCAACACATCATAAATAATAATCTGGAGAATAAATTAATTACCACAATAGAAGCAAAATCTCAGATGATCTATAATTATGTCAATGGTTCAAGGGTACATATTATTGATTGGAATGATATTCTAAATTATAATTATGATCGTTAATATTTAAATTTTATTTTTACATTTTTATAGGTTGTGTTTAATGGTAGACTAAAGATTCGTCTTAATTTAAGTACAATGATAGAAAGTTTTGAATTTTTTACAGATAATTATATAGAATATGTGCCAAGAAATATAGAGATATCATGTCCTATTAATGAATTTGGAATAACAATGAAAACTTTAAGATGTTTAGAGGTAAATCATCCTATTGATTATTTGATTAATGCCACGAAAAAAAAAGATTCATAAAATGATATTTCACTTAATTATATAAGGTTGCTGAAATTGTGCTTACATTAAATGATATAATGTCGATGACTATTGAGCAGAAGAAAGGACCTCAATGTAAGTTTGTTATTTTATATATTATCATTAATGCTATTTATAATATTTATAATATTTATAGGTCCTTTTCTTCCAAATAGATGTATTATATCCACAGCTTCATGATTTGGTAAATATAATACAACAACAACAACTACAGAATCAACAATTACAACAACGATTACAACAACAATTACAACAACAACAACAGCAACAACAACAACAGCAACAACAACAGCAACAACATCATACACGACAACAACATATTCAACAGCATCAGCTTCAACAACAACAGCTACGACAGCAACAAGGATTAACAATTGATACTAGTTGTCAACAACAACAACAATGTCAACAGCAATTAGTAAAAAATCAACAGCAGCAACAACAACAACAACAACAACAACAAAATCAATCAAGTAATAATATACCTCCTACATCTAATCCATCATCACCCTCAAAAACTACTAACAGAGATAAGTCAGATAATAATAATATCAATGATACCGATATCAGTAATAATAATATTAATGATACAGGTGATAATAACACAGAGTCTTTACCATCATCATCTAATAACAATATTTCAACATCATCACCATCAACATCAAATAATATCATTTTAAAATCAGAATCACCAAAATCAATAACCACTGAACCAAGTATTTATTTATTTATATTTTTATGTTACAGAGTTTATGGTAACTTTATTAATCAAATTTTGGTTTTTTTAGCAAAGAGGACATCAGAAGATTCTACACCAAAGACAAACAAAGTAATAAAGAAAAGGAAGACAACAAGATGAAATTGATCAATTGTTAATATTATATATATATATATATATATATATATATATATATAAATATCGTATTCTTTCTTTTATTCTTTCTCACCTCTTCATTCACCTTTTCTTCCATCTTCATCATTGCATCCATCCTACCTCCTTACACTACTTGCTTTATAGGATTTTTTTTAAATTTTTTCTATAAAAGAAAAAAATTATTCACTCCAAAAAATAAGTTGATTTTTTCTGCTGCTTTATAGTGTTGCGACCCGTTAAGACCTGGTTTGTAACGGGTTAACGTTAAGAAATTTTGCATAACGGGTTGTTAACGGATTACGGTTAGCTTATAGGATTTGGTGTTACAATCCGTCAACCCGTTAACAACCCGTTAAACTCGTTAACGATAATAATAATATCAATATTAATATTACAATTAAAAATCCATTGATCCAATAATAATATTGATTTGTTATGCTGAAGTGAGGACTTTTTGACCATGTTATTTATATAATACATTATGAATTCTACCTATTACTATTAAAATAAATTTAATATCACAATCTTCCAATCCTTTGAAGAAAAAACATTAAATTATTTTTCAATAAAAAGAAAATTTTTAAACAATACAACCTAAGGTCTCTATAACAAAACCAAGTAAAATCTCTCTATAATAATGAACTTCCCTTTTGTCCGATTCAATTTTTTATAATTAATTTCTCTCTTTATAACGAACATCTTAGTAAACTCTCTCTATAATGAAACAAAAGCAGAAAAATTACATATAGGGACAGGGGGTTCGGTAGGTTGTATAGGGAAACATGTAAAAGAACACGAATGAAACCTGACTTTTTTAAAAAATTATGTTCTTGATTCGCAACTTGAACAATTCGTCTCCAAATTAAATAAAAATTAAATAAATAAATATTTTATTATTTAAATTCTAACAAATAAATGTTTTTGATTTATTAATACCATATTATTAATATTAATATGTATTTTAACGGATTAACCCGTTACCAATCCGGATGAAAAATACCTTAATTATAATACTAATTATAATACTAATACTAACGGATTCTTAACGGGTTCAAATATTCTTAATTGTAATATTAATATTAACGGGTCCATAACGTTAATCCGTTATAGTTAATATTAACAATCCGGGTCGTAACACTAGTGCGCGTCATCTAATACTAAAAACATCAATGCTGCGTCACACTGCCAAATCTTCAAGCCCAAAATAGCAATGATACTTTTTGGTGTCACGGGATTATAAAATCACACGACTCATTCATTTATCGTATTTGAGTATTTGAATTTTATTCGAATAAATTTTTCTTAAATACGACGTCAAGTCGCTCCAAACGAATACTATTCTATGGTAAAACGGGGGGGGGGAGTTGTGCATTGTAAATAATTTAATTTATATATATATATATGTATTACATATTTCTAATTTTAAATGTCACAACAAGATTACGTCGTTAAAAAAAAAAAAAAAAAAAGAATAAATTTTTCTTAAATAAGCAAATAAAACAAATATATAAAATGAATAAACGAATATAGCAAATATATAATTCGAATAAATGAGTAAAATAAATCATTGAATAAACAAATAAAACAATTTGAGTAAAAACGAATGATTCGAATAAACAAATAATTCGAATAAACGAATAAAATGAATAATTTAAATAAACAAATAATTAGAATAAACTAATAAAATGAATATAATTAGAATAAATTAATAATTAGAATAATAAATGAATAAATGAATAAAACGAATAATTTGAGTAAAATAAATAATTCAAATAAACAAACAAAACGAATAATCAATTTCTTTATCTGAGTCTTCTTCACTTGATGCATATTCTAAATTTTTATTCAATTCATTATCTAATTTGTTTTTTTTAACATTTCTAGCTTTCTCCAAATGTGCAGTTTGCTTACCTTGCCTTGGCATTTTTTTTAATTGGAAGAATGTAAGTCTGTTAATAATGTATTTATTGGCTGATTACTTACAAAAAAAAATATGAATTTTGTAATGTTCTGGTCACGCGTTTGAATGACCTTTTACTAAATAAGAAAAATCATATTGTGCCAAATTTCATTTTTGATAACAACTTCAAGCCACTAAAGGCTTTTTTTTTATTAATAAAATTGAAAAAAAAACTTCATTTTATTGTTGCCTAGGTTCTAAAGTTTGCAAAAATAGAGAGTTTTTTCAACTTTATTAATAAAAAAAAAAGTCTTAGTGGTTTGAAGTTGCACGATTTTTTTGATACCTGCATCATATAAAAAGTGGACGTATTACCAAATTAAAAAAAAAAAATTAAAAATGAGTTATACAAATTGTACTTTTTGTTATCAAAAGGTACTTTTAAAACATCCATCAAGTAGCGGTTTTTATAAATGTTGTTTTTGTTATCAAAATTTCTTTCCATTTCAACCAGTTCAACAAAAATCATTAAAAAATATCGAAGAATTTATAATTAATAGAAATGAAATTACAAAATATTTAGGTGGGATTATAGGACAAGGAGGTTTTAAAATTTGTTATCGTGGCAAATATAAAAATACATATGATATTGCTATTTCAGAAGTCCAATGTAAACTTGATAACGTTACTTTAAGAGAAGTAGCAAATGAATTAAAAATTTTAAAGTATATATTATTTTATTAAGAGTTTTTTTTTTTAAAAATAATAATAATAATCACTTATAATTAATTATATATAGAGAATTAAATCATAAAAATATAGTTCAATTCATTGGATATTATGAATCGGAACGTACGGGATTTTTAAACATTATTACAAAATATTATAAAAATGGAAATTTACAAAAGTATATGAATAATAACCCAAATCAAGGAAACTATAGTTTACAATTTAAATTTATTTCCGGAATTACTGAAGGCGTATCATATCTACACTCAAAAAATATATATCACAGGGTAATTACAATTAATTAAATGTTTTATTTATTTTATTATAAATAATATAAATATTATTTTTTTTTATTAGGACTTAAAACCAGATAATATTTTACTTTCCGATAATTTTACTACAAAAATTACTGATTTTGGAGAATCTAAATATATGGACAAATTTGCAAATGATATAACATGTTCTCAACGTGGACATCAATATTTTAGAGCGCCAGAAATTAATGGAAATTATTATGATATTAAAAAAGTAGATATATATTCATTAGCTTTAGTTTTTTGGTCGATATTAAATTGGGGGATATTACCAGCGCATGGTAATCGTTCAGATATTTCTTATTTGAATAATAATTATCCTTTAAGTTCAAATATAATTCAAAAAATGTGGCAAACGGATCCAAGAAATAGACCAAGTATAGAAGAAGTTGTTATTATGATTAATAGTATTCGCGCTAATCGTGAGAATTTTTTTAGAACGGCAAATTTTTTACATTAAATTTAATTTAAAAAGTATTCGCCACCATTTTTTATATATCAAATTTATATTTATTATTTTCATTTAAATAAAATGTATTTTTTTAATAATTTATCTGTTGTTAAAAAATTTTATATTGGCTATTAGTTGCTTCATTTTGAGAACGTTTACTATATCCAGTATTTATTACAAATTTGTTTTAGAAATTTTCAACATACACAAAATTGTTTTCAAATACGATTTTTGATTGATAATATAAATATTATTATTATGATCAAAACCCTTCCTCCAAAAATAAGTTTTAAATACTACAAATAAGCAGAAATCTAAAGAATCGATCAACGAAAACTAGGCACCAGTCAAAATTAAATAAGTGGTAGGTTGTTGCCATCAAGCCTCCTCTACTAAAAAAGGTTTAGGGTTTACCTCACTTGGCATAATAGGCTTCTGTCACAAAGTTTTTCAGTTACTCTTCATTATCCATGTTGATCGTTCTGGTTCCCCTTTGAGTTGCATGTACGAAAAGAAAAGGCAAAACCCCAACTCGTTATTGCTTTGTTCGTCTACATTGCAAGGTGACCTTTTTGTTAACGCCGATTATTTAACGACTATGTCTGATTATGGTCCAACTTTTGAGCTACTCTTGACAGTTAATTGCAAGCAATTTACAATAATTTGGTGCTCGTCGATTAATTAGTTTACGAATTTACTTCGGTTCTTGTACCTAGAAAGCTTTGGCGAATCTGCATGTACACTCAACGGTACAGGATAATCTGTAAACAAATAAAGTCGGCTTTCTAACGATGCTCAAGGCCTCTATAAAGTTCCGTTTTTATTTATTAGTGGCCGATTTATTTCAGTCGTTTGAACCGATTGTAAACTCGTTTTAATATACTTTTTGTGTGCGACAGACATATAGTTCGACTACGGTTTTTCGTGTAACAATTTTTAATCTCAAAAAGGTCGGTTTCACTATAATATATATCCCGTTTCAATAAAATGGCAACTAAAGCTGCACACAAAAGATTATCAAAAGAATATATAGCTATAAAAAGCGTAAGAGTCATTGACAAAGTTTACATTTGTATTTATCTGTATTCAATTGTATTAATATTTCTAAAATTTAAAAAAGAATCCAGTACCATATATAATAGCCAGACCGCTAGAAAATAATATTTTGGAATGGTAAATTTTGATTTATTTTGATTTTAGTATTTATTCACTTTATTTGTTAACTCCCATTAATATTAAAAAATAGGCATTATGTTATTCGTGGTCCACCAAATACACCTTATCATAATGGAGAATATCATGGTAAGTATAAGCAGATTTAATTACAAGTTACAAGTTACAAATTATTCATTCCTGTTTTCCTTTCATATAATATTATAAAATAGGTGTTGTACAATTTCCAGTTGAGTACCCTTTTAAACCACCATCAATTCGCATGACAACACCTTCTGGTAAATAATAAAAATGTTATTATTTTGTAAATTGGTTTTTTTTTAAATCAAAAAAGAAACTATTTATCAACAAACAACTTTATTATTAGGGAGATTTCAACCTAACACAAAGTTGTGTTTGTCAATGTCAGATTTTCATCCAAGTTCTTGGAATCCTAGTTGGAGTGTCGCAACCATTCTAAATGGATTGCTGAGCTTTATGGTTGTGTACAATAATAATAGTAATAATAATAGTCATTATGTTTATTTGCTATAATAAATAAATGTATTAATCAATTTAAAAATTTATTTTGTAGACCGGTGATGAAACCACAACAGGTAGTATTAAAACATCAGATGCTGATAAAATAATGTTTGCTTCAAATTCACATCAGTTTAATATGAAGAGTCCAAAATTCAGAGGTAATAATGATAATGGTGATGGTGATGAATGATGTTGTCATGATTATTATCGTAAAACATCAATTTTTTTTATTTGACAAATTATAGAAGTATTTCCTGAATTTTGTATATCAGAACCAGTGCTAGTTGAGATTCTTTACCCACTCAATAACAATAACACCAATAATAATGATGGTCATGATAACAAGTCTAGTACAAATTCATTAAATGAAACACCCAAGTCACCCCAAATCAATAATCAAATCAAAAAACGTCAAATAAATCAAAATCTTGGATCAAATAGTGTAGATAATATGGTTAATAGTAGCAGTAGTAAGAGTAAGAGTAGTAATAATAATCATAATAATGCCAACACTAATAATATTTTTGTCCGTCTTTTGATAATAATAATATTGTTATCAATATGTATATACATGTGCTACTCTAGTGTTAATATACTATGAATATAAAACAAATGCTCTATAATAGGGAGGCAAAAAAATAACAATAACAATTTAAATTATCATTATTGTTACCGTTATCATTTTCTTTTTTTCCTTTCATTTAATAAATATTAACAATATTAATATAAATATATAGTGGAAAACTTGTTTTATTGAATTATTTTATTTTTATCTAAAGATCAATAACTCTATTATTATTATAAGTGTCAACCATATCTATAAATCCTTAAAGGGAAAAACGTCATTATAATTATTAAAAATTTATCAATAGATCATAAAATAATTACTTTGTAGATTTATCCATCCATCACATGTGTATATATATCTTATGATTATTTAAGATTGACAATTTGGGATCTAAAAAGAAAATTTTAAATTTAATCATAAAACATTGATTCTTAATTAAAAATCTACAGATAGTTAGATACCAACCTGTATTGATTAATGTTATCATTGGTCAATATAACAAGTTCACGTCTTTTTAAAGGTTTTTTTGTCAAAGGACAAATGTTTTTATTTGGACTTGTAGAGAGACATTTTACCCAATTGTCATAACTAGTAAACAAGTAGACAAATAAACAAAGTTTTAATTAATAATAAATCATAAAAATATAATTATTGATTAATTAATAATACTCATACCCCATCACATGTCCATAAGGAGAAATTGCTGGACGATTAACTTCTTCTAATGTAATAGGATCAATAAAACCCGGCAATGGGTTTTCATCATCTTGTTCGACAACTTCAAAATCAATTCTTACACTTTCCTGATATGATCTTGCTCTTTTTTTACTATTCCATGACTTCAAAACATAACTACCAGAATCATCGTTATCGTAATCTTCCTCCTCCTCTTCATCGCTGTTAAATGTATTTTTTCTGCTACGTTTTCTATGTGATGATCTGGGTCTGAATGTAGCAAATGTTTTTTCATGTTTACTGTTTGGGCTATCCTGAGCACCAGAATGACCTCCTCTAACAGTTTTACATTCATTACCGCCACTTCCATGTTTGGAGTGAGTTCTGATTGTTTTTTGTGTCTCACCTGTTTGTTTATTCATAGTACTAAACAAATAATGTGCTTTACCATTGTTATCAATTACATAATTTGGATCTTTGATTCGTCCAGTTTCTATTAACAATCGATAAAAATTTGAACACTAATAATAATAATATTTAATTAATTATTTAACCTTTTTTTCCTATGGATGAAGGTTATTTAAACATACTTGATAACCAACACGACCAGGGATTTTCATTGAAAATATTCCCCATTGACCTTCAGAACCAACTTCTTCCAATCTGTTAAAAAACTTTTGCTCCTCTTCCTATATAATTATTTTTGTTAAAAATTAAATAACGTTACCACCAATCTTCATTAAGTTATGTTATTATTTATTATTATTATGAAATTAACCTCAGTCCATGCTCCTAGCCTCTGTTCTTCACCAGGTGCATTGAATCGATAATAATATGTGTTGGGATTTGTTTTAATAGCAAGATATGCTTTTTTACGAGCCAATGACCATCCTTCAAACGCCTTATCACGATTCACATCATAATCTTCTATTTGCTTTAACGCATCATCCAATGCAAGACGACCTTTCATTCTATTTTGGTTGCTTATAATATTAATACGCTTTTCAAAACTGCAACAAAAATTTTTTTGATTTATATATTACCTGTTATTATTAAAATTGCTATTAGAATTTCTAGTTCTTTTTGAGGCCGTTCTTTGAGGCCTTTTTGGGGTTGTTTCTTTATCATCATCATCATCCTTTTGAATAGATTTTTGAGAACCAGCTTGTAATTCTGTTATTGATGTTTTTTGAGGGCCCTGTAGTTTCAATAATTCACGAAAACCTCTATGGTCTATTATTGTTCAAATCAAAAATTCATTTAATGAATGTGCGAGTGAGTATATGTATAGATTGATTGATTAAAAGTAGGTTATTTGATTTTTACCATGGTCAATAGCATCTTTATTATGTTTATGAGCAATTCTTTTACGAAGCTCTTTGAAATATTCATTATTGTACATTTTATTAAGTGCTAAAGCCTAATATTATTATTGCATAATAATATATAAATATATAAATAAATATACACATTCATCAAATCAAAATATTATTAGTTAAGTAACAATAGGATTATCATATATAAATATATTAAAGTTAATTTACCTCATCACCTTTACAATCCTTTAACGCTTCTTTAATTTCTTCATCTGTAACAAACCAAAGTTTGAAGTGGATAAATTTTGCTTTACGGTGAAATTCACGTTTTTCAAATTCTGCAAACTATTATCATTATTATTTTTAAAAAATAAATTATCGTATAGGTGAATATATATATGTATGTGTGTATGTATATATTGATAAATATTACCTGTTGTTGTTGCAATGCTACACGTTTTTCGATGATATCTTGTTCAAGTTCTGTAATTTCTTCAGCAAACAAATTTGGTTTTCGGATAGGTTGTATATTTTCACTTTTAAATTAATAAATAAATATTATTTGTTATATGTTAATTTTTATTTTGTTTTCTATTATTAAATAAATGAATAATATTTATCAAGAACCTTTCTTGTAAAGTTATTTGATTAGTAGTAATGTTATTATCAATAATATTGAATGGATTCTCTTCAATTGGTTTATCAGTATTAATATTAGTCTCTTTGTGAATTGTCAATGATTTAAGCTCTTTCTATAATTATAATTATAATTATGATATTGTGTACATATATGTATACACATATTCAAAAGAAATCTATATAAATTATTAACAAGTAATAGGAAAAAAATTCTAACCGAAATGTTTGTAATGTTAATTGTAAGCGGTGGACTTGATGAAACCCAATGAGTACATAATGGAGGAGGCCCTTTAAACGAGTCACAATTATCTTGATATACATACAATAAATATTGTATTAATTAATTAAATATATATATATAGCTGTAAAATAATGTATTATATTTTTCTAATAAATTAAATGACTGACTAACCTTCTGGATAGAACCTCGTCATATTGTAGACAATACAAAATACACACGGACAGATTAAAAAACCAACACGTAAAATTATTTATCGTTATCCAAGTTACACTAAAATTGAAGATCATTGAATAAAAAATATAAATAAACCAAAAAATTACACAAATTTTTAAAAACACCCACCACAAGGATGGATAATATTAAAAATTATATTGCGGATCAAAATTATCAGGAACTTGTTAAATTCTGTGAAGATTTGGAGTTGGAAGTAAATATTATTTATTTTGTTTTATATTTTAATTCGAATTTAATGAGCACATTGTGTGTATGTAATTTTTTTAATAGTTGATAAATTTTCTATGAAAAATAAAGTTGGCAGTTAATCCAGATCCTAATATAACACCGGAAGAATTTTACGGACCATTTCTTTTTGGATATTTATTTGAAGATGATCTGTAAGTTGATAATTGTAAACATATTTTTTTAAAATTGTCGTTAATCAACCAATCAATCAAAATCCATTAATCGAAATATCTTCTCAATCAACTAGCCCTTCAGCCAAATTTCTTTGGAAGAGAATACCAGAAAATATTAAAAGTTCATCAAAAGAATTAAATTTAATTTGGAATGTCGTTATGGCTTTATGGAAAAGAGATCATGAAAAGTTTTATGAAAATGTCAACTCAAATAAATGGAATCATTTATTTACGCCTTTGATTGAACAACTTGCTGGTAATCAAATAATTTTTTTGAATTTTTATTATGCGTTTATATTTATATTTGCTTGAATAATATTAATATTAATGTTAATGATTATGGTTATGATTATGAATCATGTGAAATTTATAGAAAAGATAAGACAATCAATGATTAATCTTATATCAGAAGCATATTCCTCCATATTAATTGATGAATTTATTAAATATGTCGGATTACCAAAGGAGAACGCTTTATCAAGTAAAAAAGAAAATGATTTTTGTATATAATCAAAATATGACGATATTTTATTTTTACAACTAATTTAATTAAAACACTTTTTTTAAAAAAAGTTGTAGAAGGACAAGGTTGGACAATTGATAATTCAAAAAATATGTTATATCCAAACAAAATTGGTAATTTTATTTTTATTAATTCGTTTATTTGTTTGTTTATTTGTTTATTAATTATAAACCAAATTTATTAATAATTAATAATTAACAACAATAGTCAAGGAAGAATTTAAACCAATCTCTCTTAATAATTTCTCACAACTTACTGACTTAGTAACCAACTTGGAAAAATATTAAAACAATCAATAAATCATCATAAATTATAGTAACCATATTACATTGTAGCAATATTAAATGCTCATTCAATCTTGAGTTTATCCAGTGATTTAATATTATCAAAAAATAATTCCTCGCCTAATCCACATTCTTTATAGATTACTAGAAGTTGTGTATTTTGATTATTCATATTTTTATTGTCATCGTCATGTTTATGACTAAAATATCTTATAGTGTTAATTAAAGAATCGTGTGATTCTGGCAGGTAAAATATTCCTGATACCAGAGCAATATCAATTTAATTTATTATTATATTTATTGAAGGTTTGTCAATAATACCATCTTTTAATTATTTTTACTAACAATATTATTTAATTTCTTGTTCATCTGAATATTTCGCTTGGTAAATCTGTACAAATCACTTTTATCACTTAATTTATCCATTCATCCAATCAGAGATAAATTAATCAAGGCCAAACCCCTCTAAGTGCACCCTATCTAAATGCATGCCCTTCTTATTCCCAAGCTTATAGTGAGCTTATAAATCTTCCCCTTTAAATGCACGCTCATAAGTGATAGTGATATGTTCCCAATGGTGCACTTAGAGGGGGTTGACTGTAGTTGTAAATTAGTTGTAACTACATATTCATTCATATTCAGCATTTCAGGCAGACAGGCCAACAAGTCCACGTCCGGATCCCAGTTCAATAAAACTAATCCATCCATTATCAACTCTATTTACAAGTTTAAATAGATAAGTAGTTGGGTAGGGATTGATAATGATAAGTGCATGTATATAATTGATTAATATTTACATAATCAAGAAATAACAAAATTTTTCTGATAATTTTGCGTGATTTATACTAGTCTAATCGTCGATTATAAAAAGACGTTCAAGATCAGATTTATTAGTATTTAAATTGATTTTTTTTTTAGGTTTAACGACGTAGCTTACATATTATGAATTAAATGCACAATTCCCCTCGTAATACTAAAAGTATCCGAAGCGATTTGATTGTCGTACACAATCTCTCGTGAGACCTCTTTTATTTTATTTTAAAAAGAGAATCAAGCTGAAACGTCCCATTTCATTGACCATGTAAAATAACTCACCATTGTTGCTTGTTATCTTTTTATTGATATTATTTTTGTTATTGAATCTTAAAGGAATAAAAGTTTTTTCCGTTTTTTACAAAAACTGACTTTATCGACTCCACAACTATTCTTTGATGTTGGAAGTTTGTATACTTGTACGTATATTGTTTTTATGTTGTCCAAAGAAAAATTTTTTATTTTTTTGGCTTCGCCTTGGTGGGAAAAAGATCATTAGGATGGATTTGTTTACATTTCAAAAAAAAAGATTGTCAAAATACAAAAATTTAAAGATTTATTTATTTATTTGTTATTTTAAAACAAAAATTACAAAAACAAATTTATTTATTAATTATATACTGTGAAAAGAATATATTGAATTATTTTTTATTTATTTAGTGCAGTTGCAAGTATTGCTAGCACATGTACAAGATCCAGAACTGCAAGAACATTTCTCACCGCATGTACAGCCACTAATAATAATAAAAATCAAAAAAATTAAAGGTCAAGATTAAAATGTTGGAAAAAATAAATCTGAAAAATATTTATTAATTATTATTTTTATATTTACCTTGCACCACAATTACCTTTTGCGGTGGTGGTTTTTTCGCATTTACAATCAGTTCCACAGCTACAACTAGTTCCGCAAGCACATCCATCACAAGTTTTAGTCATTTTGAATTTTATTGTTTGTTAGAAAAAGTTTTTTGTTTTGTAAAAATTTAATATTTAATCGTTGATAAATTTTATTTATTTTATTTATTGAGAAAAGTTTTTGATTTTGGAGAATGGAATAAAGTGAACGTATTTATACAAAAATAATAATATAAAGAACTCGTTATTATTTATTAATCATTCGACTTTTTTGTTTGTTTTTGAGCGATTTTTGCCAATTCATTGCTTTGCTTATTTGTTAATTTTGTGGCATTGCTAATTTTTTAATTGATTTATTATCATGTGGTCAGGGACAAGAATCGTAGAATTATATCTAAAATTGGTTAAGTGCTAAACATCTTACGATTTTTGTTGGGAGAAGTTGACACCCTGGTCACCTGATAGTCGTTCCTTTTTTTTTTTTTGAAAATTAAGGAGGTAATTTAAACAAACAAAATAAATAAATAAACCAATGAAAAGCCTAAATGATCAGCAGAGATAATTGTTTGTTTATTCTTGAAATTTTAAATCTAGGAGAGGAAAATGTTAAACAAATAATCAAATTTTGAACGGCCTTACTGTATCATGTTAGAAAGTCCAAAAAATTTAAATACAATGTATTATAATTTCAATTAATTTTTTAATGATTTTAATGGCAGAAGCAAGCATGCAGATTCTCGTGGGAATATAGCAATTGTTGTTATTATTATTATTGAACTAGTTTTGATCTACATCTTTTATTATTAAAAGGTTGATAATAAGGATTGTATTTTAATGTTTCGTATGATTTTTAATTGGTGAAATGCATTCATTAGTATTAAATGTTTGCAGTTCTTGAACATGGTGAGTACTTTCTAAATGATTACAAGTTTAGCAATATTGTTAATATTTTGACTTTGTGAAATGCAAATTAATAACTGATAAGCAATAAATAATTACAATTTTAGATATTCCAACTATATAAGAAAACTATCAGGATTTAATCCAGTTCTTTCAATCAATGATATAAATTTCATTTGTTTAGCATGCTGAGAAATTTAACACTTCTACAAATTGTGCTAGCATTAATTACTTCAAATGCACCAAGATCTCTAAATTTCAATGGACTCCATGTCCAGGAGGCTGGGGGTTTAGAGCCCACTTCACATATGCTAACATAGACCAGTGGTCATTATAGTGAAAAAAAGTATTGCACCTCTCCAAAGAATTCTCGCTCTTCCAGAATGATTGGCGCCTTTTGATTATAAGTATTTCGATCTACCAAGAGCCTACCTAAAGAAAACTAATGTTACTAACATGATAAAATGGCAAAGTTTTGAAAGATTATGGATTAGTAATTGTGATTTGACAGCTTTGAGCTAATCACCAGTCCATATTTCTGAATAGAATTTGTAATTGAATTGTGAAAGTAATGTACAGATTAAGACTAGACTAGAAATTTTTTTA